GTTATTCTTAAAATAGCTCACTGGTGTGTTCATTTTAGAAATGCTGAGCAGTATTATGTAAATATTCATAATGGGTTTAATCACTTACTTTTAAATTTTGCCTAAAGATACAGGCCCTCAATGGTGGGGGAAGAGGGGAATGGGATGATGTTGGATTGGGAGCAAGATGGAAATTTGTGCTATTTCAGCACAAATAGCAGAAATAGCCTTAGACTAGGAATCAGATATTGTTGTCTCAGTCTCTCAACTCGATCCTGGTTCTTCAGATAAATCACATAACTCATTTGTTCATTACATGTGCTAGGTCTTACATGGTCTAATACAGTAGCCACTAGCCACATGTGGCTTTGAGCACTTGAAATGCAGCCAATCCAAATTGAGATGTACTATAAATATAATATACACATCAAATTTTTTAGAATAGCATGAAGGAAAAGAATGTAGAAAGTTTCATTAATAAATTTTTATACTGATTACATGTTGAAATATTTTATTTTTTAAAGATTTTATTTATTTCAGAGAGAGAGGAAGGAAGAAAGAGAGGGAGAGAAACATCAATGTGTGTGAGAAGCATCAATTGACTGCCCGTAGCACACGCCCAACTGGGGACCTGATCCGCAACCCATTCATGTGCCCTGACAGAGAATTGAACCAATGATCTTTTGGTTCACAGGCCAGTGCTCAATCCACCGAGCCACAACAGCTAGAGCTGAAATAATATTTTAGATAAAACTTACTTATGTTTTGATTTTAGAAAGAGAGAAGAAGGGAGAAAGAGAGAGAAAGAAACATCAATTTTTTGTCCACTTATTTCTGCATTCATTGGCTGATTCTTGTATGTGTCCTGACCAAGGATCAAACCCACAACCCTGGCATATAGGAACAATCCTTTAACCAACTAAGCTACCAGGCCAGGGTCATTTCAGATATTTAATTAAATAAAATATATTAATTTCACCTGTTTCTTTATACTTTTCAAAATGTGGCTACTAGAAACTTTTAAATTATATATATGGCTCTATTGTGTAGTACTATGCTAAGACTCTTGTAAGAACTAGGAATTCTGAGGAGAATCTCTGCTGTCAAATAACCACCCACAGCCTAGTTGGAAAAGATATGAAAATAATTACAGTATAATGGTGTTAAATAAAGTGATAAAGATATATAAAGGGGTATGGGAGAATAAGGAAAGCTATTTTTGGAAGGAGGTAGGAAAGAGGTAAAGAGCAACGTTAGGTTAGCCTCCTGGAAGCCGCATCACCCGAATCTTAAAGGATAAGTAGAACGGTAAAATATAAAGGATCAGGGTGAAGGCAATTCCAAGAGATTGTATGAGCCACAATAAAGAAACAGTGAAGGGGACAAAGGAGGAATAAAAGAAGTTTCCTATTGAAAGAAGGAAAGGGTGAGGCAGAGGGGAGAGAATATACAAGGCTAGAAAGGGCTCCTGTGACATTTTAAAGGGACTGAATTTTAACCTTTAGGCAACAGAGTGCCCCAAAAGTTTTTAACCAAGGCAGTCAGTCCCAAGATCAGAAATGATTTAAATCTCTGGCAGCTGAGTGAAGAGTGGATTAAGGTGAACAAGGTTTGAAACAAGGCTGTAGTGTAAGTGAGAAATATCAGGGCTTAACCTAGAGCAGTTAAGTGTGAGAATGGAAAGGAAAGCACTAATTCAAAGCTAAATTTAGAAGATAACATCAGTAAAATATAATTGTTGACTTGCCCTGACTCCATGGAAAGTGGTTTTATTTTATTCTAAGGAGATGAGAAGATCCTGGAATATTTTAGGCAGGGGGAACATCATGTTCTTAGGTTTTAAAGGACTACTCTGACTGCTGTGGAGAATACACTGCAAGGGGAAAACAGTGGAAGTAGAAAATAGCTGATTTAAAGAAAAAGGCTATTGCTGCAGAAGACATTTGAGATGATGATGGCTTGGCCCAGTGTGTTAAAGAGGGGATGAGAAGCAACTGGATTCATGCTTTTTGTTGGTTGGTTGGTTGTTTTGATCCTCACCCAAGGACATTTTTGCATCGTTTTTAGAGAGAAAGGTGACGAACGAGAAACACCAAATGGTTGCCTCTTGTAGGCTCTCTGACTGTTGATCGAACTTGCAACCTAAGTGTGTGCCCCGACTGAGATTCAAACCGGTAACCATTCGATGTACAGGACATTGTACTGGCTAGGGCTCAGGTTTCCTTTTTTTTTTTTTTAACTTACAAGATGTTATTAAAAAAACATCTTCAGTATTGCCTAATTCACAGGATTGAGAAAGGAAAAGGGAAGTTCAAGAAGACCACACCTATTGAGCTCAACTGTTTTGTGTAACCAGAAAGCTAGGGTGTCTGTTGGGAGTGACAATATTATACAAAGGTTTGAGAAAATAGTGAAAGTTTGGAAGACAGCAAAGGAAACAGAAATAACTGACCAAAGGCTATTTTAAGTATTAACAGATGCCTTACATGAGGTCTGAAACCACATAATTTTAGTGGTATCAGTTGCACCTATTATGTGATTTTAAACTTCACAACCCTCAGCTACCCAATGGTAGGAGTTAAGTGGAAACAAGTTTCAGTTGTAAAATGGCTTAAGTTAGATGATTTTAAAATCTATATAGTTTCAAAATTCTATAGTTCTAAGTATTCTAAAATTTTTACTGCTGCCACACAATTTTTCTTATGGTGGTTAAATGTACATAATACCAGATTTACCATTTTAACCACCTCAACAGGCAATTTTTAAACAAACATCTTAAGCCTCCAAAGGGTTTTAGTTATGATGGTACAGAAAAATCCCATGTCGAGATGGCAGCTCTGGGTCTGGGGTGGCTGGACTCCTAACTTCTATTGCCTCTCAACAGAAACAGCCTCATCTTTTTTTTTTATCACAATATACTGTTTTGCCATGGATAACATGCACTTTTTGCCCAAATTTTTGAGGGAAAAATATGGGTGCACATTATACATGGGAATAATGACTATGTACCATGGGCACAATGGACCAGTGTATAATGTGCACAAAAATGTGGGTGTGCATTATACACAGCAAAATACAGTAATACAAGTATTCATTTTCTAAGTATTGAAAAAGTTTGGGAAGCAATGCTCTAAGCCATAAAAAATGAGAAACCTAGTATTATGAAATGTTAAAAATAGCTGCTTCTCTGTTAAAGAACTTTTCTCACTTCTTCAGGACTTCATAATTTTTTCTATCAGGTAGGGGCATAAAGCTCTTTACTGGGGGCAAATATCTATGCCCACCATTTCCACTATTTAAGTAACCATCCTAGAGACTCATAAGGAGAAGCTAATAATTTTGAATGGATTCAAAGATTTTCCTCCACCTACATGAAAAATTGGAATCCCAAAGGGATACCCAATTCATTTATCCAGAGAGTACTGACTATAGCAAGCACTGAGTTACTTTCTGAAGATACAAAGGTGAACAAGACATAGTTTTGACCTCAAGAAACTTACAATCTAGTGAAGAGACTGCATTAAATAATTTAAATTGTAGTAAGTGTAAGGTGGGAAGGTACATATCTAAGAATATCTAATAGAAGAGACTATTAAAACAAGATAAAAGGATTAGAATCATTAGGCAACGGACAGAAGATGTTTGGAAATGACCCCGGGGAAGTAAAAAAGGGCAGTTTAGAGGGGCTTTCTTCAAAGAATTAACAAGTAAGCCATCTGAAGGGATTTAAGCAGCATAGTGCCATTATTTCAAGATCCCAGTAGCTAGCTATAGGATAGAGAAGTAGTCTCAAAGTGGTCAAAATTTAAGGTGGGAGAAGATACTAGATATTAATTTTTTCTCATCTTTTAAAAAATATCTTCAAAATGTGTTATAATAGTCAAAGTAAGGGCTAGCTTTTTATGGAAAACATACTATGTAACTAAACACGCTACTAAGCAGTTTACATACATTAACTCATTTACTCTTCATAACTCTCTGAGTTTGGTACTATTATGGTCCTCATTTTACAGGTACAAAAAGTGAAACAGGGCTTAAGAAACCAGTCCAAGGTCACTTAGTAAGGAAGTGTTAGAGCAGGATTCAAAGCCAGGATGTCTGACTCCAGAGCCTGTGACTTACTCATTAGACTATATACCATTTTTCAGCAATACATATACAATTTAAAATTTAAATATATACATGAATTGAGAATAGGTGCTTAAGACTTTTTCTCAACACTAGTGAAGAGAAAGGTTTAGGTAAGTTTGTTGGTTGGGTGGATATGAGCAGACTAGTAGTAGACTAAGTAAGAGATAAAGGGACCTTGAAGTATTGGGGTTGTAATGAAGAGAAGGGATGGATTTGGGAGATATTTGGTAAGTGAAATTGACAAGACTTATTGATAGATTGGATATGTGGGTTAAGGAAGAAGAAGGTGCCAAGGATGATTACTTCGATTTTGACTTAAATAGATTGGACAGTGAAGTCATTGGCAGAGGCCAAAAGGAACAGGTTAGGTCATTCAGTTACCATAGTTTTTCATTGGACCACAAGTATGCCCTTCTTTCAATGCGCCATTAAAAGACAAACTGATTACAGGTTCTTTCCACTTAAAACAAAACTCTCCATTTCCATTATAAACATTTACATAAGTAGTTATGCCTCCGATGTTATATTAAAAATGGCATGGTCGATTTTTCACCCATTTTCTCTAAGTGTTATGAATTAAGACATAAAATTTGGAAGTGAATTATGGTTGCCATAACAGGGTAATGAAGATTCAACAGCCCTCTTCTTTAAAAATACCAACATTTCTATAGCACTGTTAAAATAGTACAGAAAGTACTGTTAACGTTCAATCTGGAGAAATTATGATCTTCACTCAAGACCGATAATGACTAGAAAAATTACTTTTACATTTTGTATTTATGATTTTCTAAATACTACTTTTTAAAGTTTATAATATTGTCCTGTCTTTCCCCCAGGCCTTAGTAGTATTACAGAAAAGTACTGACCAGGTTTAACAGATATTGTGGTTCTAGTCTATTCTGTTTATTCTCTTCAGCTTCATTTGTAGAATTCCCAATGCTGAAACGCTTCTTTTAGCAATCACGGTAAACAGGAAAATACATGAACAGTTTTAATGTTATGAGATACAGGAAATGTTGATTAATATATATATATATATTACCTAATATATTGTTCTAACAAACAATGCTGGTCACTCGTGATTCCTTCTCATTTCAGTTTCTCCAGAAACTTTCCATTTAACCTCAGCAAAATACACATCGTTTTGCTATCTGGCCTCACCACCCAGACCAGTCAGGTCACATCACTGAACTGCAGGTAACATCTACAAGGCAGAGAATTACGTTAGATAAATCCGTGTCTATTCCCTCATTAGTTACTTTCAACTTTCCATTTGGTACAAGCCACTCATATAGCCTTTCCCTGAAATGTGTTTAAATCAGACGCATCTGTAATTTTCAAGTAATTGGAACTTCCCAAACAGAACGGCTTGAGCTTTCTCCAGGAAACCCCCAAAACGCCGTGGCAATCGCCAGTTCTTGGAGCGGCCGCTCCCGACAACGCAGAGGTGGCGCTCTCCTTCCCCAGTCAGTGCACTCAGTCAGCGCATTCAAGACGGGACACCCTGTAGACTCCACTCCGCGATACTCCTAAAGATCGCCGCCTCGGTACGAGGCCGGAGGAGGGGCGTAAACTCCCAGAAACACCCGCGTGACGTCGCACGGGTTCAAGCAGGGGCGGGCGCAGCCGCCTCCTATCTCGGCAGGCTGCCCTGGGGCCCTCCCCCGCGGCCGGAAAACGCGGCCAGCCCTGAGGGGCTGGCTTTCCTGGGGACTTTCGGCAAACTAGTGAGCGAAGGAGAAAAAAAGCCAGCCGCCTTCTCTTCCCAGTCCCGGTGCGTGCCTGCGTCCCTGCCGGGAGTTTCGATAATCTGAAGGCAATCTTGGAATCCTTGAGTAAGAGGAATCTCCCGTAAACCGCAGCGCTGGGTCGTAGAGCCCACTTCCGGTCTGGAGCGGCGCGCTGACCGAACGCTTTTGGCCCGTAGGGTGAGGATGGCTGTAGGACTGTGGGGCTGAGCTTTAGTAAGTAGGCGGAGGCCGGCCAAAGCCGGCTGGAGGGGAGGCAAGACTGGTTCGGACTCCGTGCTGTTTCTTGGTCTCCCGCGCTAGCTTTGGACTAGCTTTCCCGCGACGGGACCGCCTCCGCGCATGCGCAGACACCGCCCTGCGCAGACACCGCCCTGCACGGTGTTGCCCCTCGCGCTTAGCTGTCTGGCTAGCGTGTGGAAGCGGAGGCTGATGGCTGAGGGCCCTGGAAAAGGGAGCCTTTGAGCGTCTGCATTGTTAGTAAGAGAACTGCTCAAAATTCTTATTCAGTTCAGGACTCTTGTGTGATTGGAGGCGTGGCTCTTTCCTTACTTGTGTAAGAATACATGTGGTGTGGTAAGAAAGAAATATTTTACTTAGCACCTTCAATGTGGTGGTTTACACTGTTACAGGATGCACAGAAATGTATTATGTTCTTCAGACCTTTGAGCCCAGAAAGCGACTTGAGAGGCAAGATGTACATTTCTGAGATCTTAGAGTGTACCATCTTGCAGTGAATAACGGTTCATTGCCCGAAGACTTGCCAACAAAAAGTGCTGGACATGCAGGATAGGTAGGAGATGGTTTCGGGAGCCAGAATTTCCGAGTTTAATATTGATAAGTTGTTTTTTATTGGGGGGAGCTTTTTTAAAGAAATATATCTACCTCTAAAGATACAGATAGGTATATTTCTTAAAGTACACTTTTTTACACTGGGTTTAAAATTATTTAATAGTATACATTTTTAAGTTTATTAAAGTAAAATTTGGTTTTACATTATTTACTTAATAGGAATAAGTAATTTACCTAGTTTTGGTTACTTAGCAGTATTTTGCTGTTATTGGCATCACAACATAAGTTCCAGCTGTGACAAAACCTTGTCCTAGCAAAGTCATCTTGGGCCAGTCACTTAATCTCCTAAGCCCATTTCTCCAGCTCTAAAATTAAATCAATAATGGTAGCTGTTTTTGCGGAGTTGTTCTGGATAATTAGGATAAAAAAATGAATATAAGATATCACAGTCCTTGGTATATAGTGAACACTTAATAAATGGTTGCTTTTACTGACAGTAGTATAGACCCATTGGTTTATCTTTTAGGATTAAGGAATAGAATACGAGTCTCTTGGAAAATAAAACTATACTAATGCAGTGCACCCAGTTCCACTTTTTGAAAACTTCATTATGGAAATAATAAACATACACAAGAGAGACACTACAATTATGAACCCTCTCATATATTTGCCCATTCATTGCCCAGCTTCAATAATTGTCAAAGTTCAGCCCTTCTTCTTTCATCTCCCTACTTTTTTGTTTGTTTTAGCTGGAATATTTTAGAGCAAATCTCCGAACACCTGTAAACACCTAAGCATATATCTGTTTTTAGCAGATGAAGGACTTTAAAAAAATATGACCATATCATTATTATACCCAAGAAAATTAAAAATACCCTAATATCTAAAATCCAGTCTATGTTTAGTTTTCACTGTCTCAGAAAAGTATAATCACAATTTTTGAAAATTTAGTAAAAGTATGTTTATTTTTGTAGTACTTTATAGTTTGTCCAGTGGATTCACACATAATCTTCCTAACTGTAGAAATGTTACTGCTTATAGACATAAAGAAATGGTTAGCAAGAGACATTTAAATCAGTTTGGGTACTTGTTAGCTCTAGTAAGGCAATGAATGACTAAGGAGCCAGGTGTGAGGTTTAGTAGACTTGTTAATCATTTTACTTTTTTCAGTGGTAGCTAGTTAATAATCTTAAGTTTAAGAACCCATTAAAATATTTATTAATCCACTTCTTAATAATAGCATATTGCTTCCTTCAATGGCTAGAGAAGTAATAAACTTACTTACCTGTGCTCCGAGAGAGGCACAAAATAGCTTTACCCTAGTTGCCTTGTTACTAGTTGTTTCTGTGTTCGTAGATTCTTTGCTGTGTCCATATTTAGCTCACTGATTACATGAGAAAGCCAGTTATTCAGATATTCAGTTAAAACGTCACTCATCTTCCTTGCTCTTTATAACATGTTTTTGTATGTGTGTATAAACATGAATGCTTGTTAAGTCAAGAATATTTCAGAATGTTTTTTCAGTTATTGGTTCAATGTACTGTTGCATTCTGTCCTTATTCAAAGTTTAAAAAGCAATAAATCCTTTTAGAGTGGTGTATCAGTACTGATCATGAATGATTACAAACCTCTGTATATCAGGGGGCTTTCAATTTAACATACTTGAGGTAATTACTTCCTTCTAGAAGGAGTAAGAGAAAATTTACATGAAAATTTAGCTTAACTAAGGTCCAGATTACTGAAATCAGGGCTTTTCTCACCATAATCATCTTTCCTCACTTTCCATTCCCTTCTACCTCACCAAATTCTCAAAGTTATTGATTGTAAGTAAATAAGGAAAACTTGAACAGCTGGCTGGGCTCAGATTACATAAAGGTAAATGAAGGATTCATTTGTTTTGCATTCTGTCGTTTCAGGTATTTCAGCTGTCCAAAGACAACTTCATACCTATATAATGTAACAGGAAAAGTCAGAAAACATTAGGCAAATACAAGTGTCAAGTGTATTAAAGCAAGATGAACGTCTCTGGAAGCAGTTGTGGAAGCCCTAGTTCTGCAGATATATCTAATGATTTTAAGGATCTTTGGACAAAACTAAAAGAGTATCATGATAAAGAAGTACAAGGTAAAAACTTGCCATCAATACTTACAGCAGTATTATGTTAAGAATGTAATAATACCTAGTTTTGGATGACAGCTTAAAGATTTCATTTGTATTTTCTGAATTTTATTTTATTGATTGATTGGTTTTAGAGAGAGAGGGAAGAAGGGAGGGGGAGAGAGAGAGACAAAGATATCAGTTTGTTGTTGTACATATTTGTCATGCATTGGTTGATTCTTGTATGGGCCCTGACCCAGGGTCAAACCTGCAACCTTGGCATATTGGGACGATGCTCTAACCAACTGAGCTACCTGGCCAGAGCCAAAGTTCTCATTTTTAAGGTACCTTTACTGTTTTAAATTTTTGTGGTTAAGTTGTTCCTTTTTAATTACAGACAACTACTGCATTATGTAGTTCTTGCACAATTTGTGGTAATATGTGGTATGATGGAAAGGGCATAACAATTTTTGACTGAAGACCTGGATTTGAATTCTGATTTCATATATTTACTTGCTCTGTGATCTCAGCCAAGTTACATAACCTCTAAACTTAATTTTCTCCTCTAAAATTATTCACACGTTTATTTATAAACATAAAAATACTACCTATGTCATTTGACAAACCTTTGGGAATCTATTTGCTACCAGTACTGAGATATTGAAGTAAATGACACTTTGTCTTCAAATGCAGTTGAGTTGAGATAGAGTCATATAAACAGATCATTATAGTGTAATGAAATAAGAACTTAGAAGGTTTATATGAAGTACAATGTGGGAGCAGATGATTGATTAGTTACAGTCAAAATGAGTATATAAATATTATTTGTGATTGTGTTAAAGTATATTCCAAATAAAGGAATTTTCTATTAAAGCTAAACTCAAGGTTTGATATTAAGCTTTAATATACCTATCTAATTTTGTGACTTTAATATGTTTTTCCCATGTGTGGGAAATACTTCATATTATATTTGTTTCTTGAAACCATAGATTTAATTCTATGGTACTTTATAGTTTTAACATTATACCAGAATGCCATTAAAACATGATCCACCTGAATCTGAAGTGTAGAGTGTGGGTCTAGGTTGGAACTTCCCTATGATACATTTATCTTGTGGTACATTTAATTTTTGGCAAAACCTCACAATCATGGACTCATTAATTAATGGATTCTGAAATATGAACCCAACATGTATTCTTACAAGCTCCAGTGTACTGGGAGATGCTTGTTCAATAAATATTTGGGGGGCCACTTACTATGTGCCAGACCTTGTAAATAAAAATAAATCATATACAGCCCTAGTTTAAAGGAATTTTATAGTATACCATTTTATCTGGGAATATAAAGGAGGAACCAGATGGGTTATGTTGGGGTTGGGAAGGTGGTTTAGTGGTAGACCAGGCTTTCTAATGGAATTAAGTCTAATTAACCACTATGTACTATGCTGAAGAGGCAGAGTTGTCATTATGCCTTGTTATCATGCTTTGTCTTTAGGATTAAGCCTAAAATTTTCATCTTGAGTGGCTACTTTTATTGATTGCAAGTGGATGGGAGTACTGCTGTGCTGAGAAAGAGGCCATGTGATGGCGTGGTTAAATCCGTCAATTTTTGATCTAGACTACCAGTATTGGAAAGCTGTATCTACCACTTGAATAGAGATGATGATCTTGTGCAAGCTGTTTAACTTTATGGTGCCTCAGATTCCTCATCTATAAAATAGAGATACTAGTAATAGCTACCTTATAGTACATTAAATAGCTTAATACATATAAAGCATTCTGAAGAGTTTTCTGGCACACAGTGACAATATATATTAGCTGTTGCTATCATCTGAAGTGGTAACATTATGTGCTATCAACTCCTGCTGTGGACCACCCCAGTTAGAAACAATGGGTTACTACAAAGAAGTTGTAACAGATGTTTCAGATACTGATTACTTATTATCCCATTTGTGGGGTTTTTTTAAAGCTGATTTCTTGGAGGAAACAAAGAGAATGACCAAAATAATAACATGAGAAAATTTAAATGATAAGGAAATCTTAGAAAATTTTTACTTTCCAACTTTTGGTGGGGTGGAGTGAGGGTACTCAGTTTAAAAAAAATTGTCATAAAATATACATAACATCTTAACCATTTTTAAGTCTACAATTCAGTGGTATAAAATATGTACGTATATATAGTATTTTGCTTTTCCATTCATCCACTGATGGAGTTTTGGGTTGCTTTTATCTTTTGGCTATTATTGTAAATAATGTCGCTATGAATGTGGATATACAAATACCTCTTCAACACTTTGCTTCCCATTATTTTGGGTACATACCCAGAAGTGGAATTGCTGAATCATATTTTTTACTTTTTGAGGAACTTCCATACTGTTTTCTGTAATACTCTGTAATACTGCTATACTAGTTAACATTCCCAGTAACAAGGCACAAGGGTTTTATTTTCTGTACATTCTTTCCATCATTTGTTATTTTCTGGTTTTCTTTGTTTTCCTTCTCTCACCCCTCCATTTCCTTTCTCCTTTTTCTCCCTCCCTTCCTCCCTCCTTCCCTTCCTCTTTTCCTTCCCTTCCTCCCTTCCTTCCTTGATGGCAGTAGCCTGCCTAATGGATGTGAGATGGTATCTCACTGTGGTTTTGATTTGCATTTCCTTCATGATTAGTGAGTTAAGCATCTTTTCCTGTACTTATTAGCCATTTGTATATCTTTGGAGAAATGTCTGTTCAAGACCTTTGCCAATTTTTTAATCAGATTGGGTTTTTGTTGTTCTTGTTTTTGAGTTATAGGAGTTCTTTGTATGTTCTGGATATTACTAGATATCCAGGTAGATGATTACTAGATAGATGATTTGGAAATATTTTCTGTTGGGAACTGCCCTGCCTAGTTTCAGAAACTGTAACCTCCCATGGCTAAGGCTGAGTGAGCAACCTTGAGACCCTAAGCCACTAAGGAGACAAAACTTATCTCCCTGGCAGGAGCACTGCCTCTGCCCACTTTATTTCACCCTACCTGACCCCCAGTGCATGACCAGTTAGCCTGTGATGGGTAAGATTTCTCAAGGGAAGGATGGCCTAAGATAGGCACAGTCACGAGGGGGCCCTTAGGGAAGGATTTGGGGGGGCCATGGAGAAAGAGGGTGATGGACCTTTGCCCCTCAGCTTTGACATAGCTTGAGTCCGCATTCTGTCTGCAAAAAGTCGCCTAATCTCTTAACTGCCTTACTTCCCCTGCCTGACTTAAGCCTGAAACAACGCAGGAGGTAGGTGCAGCCCTGTGCTGGAAAGTGCGGGTTCCCTGGGGCCATCAGGCCTAAGAAAGAATGCATAAAATCCTGTGAAACCTGCTTTGCTAATACCCTCAATTTAAATGATAAGAGTACAAGCATGAAATGAGTTTGTTTCCCCAAAGTTTTAGGGCCCTTTAACTATTTGAGCCTGACTCAAAATAGGCCCTCAGAGTTCTTTGAATATTATCTATTTGATTATTACTGCCTCACAATGATTGATGACCTTTCCATATATGCCCTATCTTCCTATGCAAATTAAGCCAATAAAAACCTGTCTAGGCAAGGGTTGGTGTGCTCTCTTAAGAGAGTGGATGTGCTGTCCCTTTTCCTCCACAGGACTTGATAGTCCATGTGAATTTGTCTCGTCTCATTCATAACACGTGGCCAGTGTCTGCATCAATTTTCTCCCATTCTCTGAATTTTCACTGTAGTGTGTCTTTTGATGCACAGGTGATTTTAATTTTGATGTACTCCAATTTACCTCTTTTTGTTGTTGTTTGCCTATATCTTTGGTATTATATCCAAGAAATCGTTGCCAAATCTAATGTCAGTGAGATATTGCCTTATGTTTTCTTCTAAGAGTTTTATAGTTTTAGCTGTTATATTTAGGTCTTTGATCCATTTTGAGTTAAAACTTTTACGTGGTGTAAAGTCAGAGTTCAACTCCATTCTTTAGCATTTGGTTTCCCAGTATTCCCAAAACCACTTGTTGAAAAGACCACAATTTAAATCTTACCTTTTGCAACAGTAGGAATGGACCTGGAGATTATTATGCAAAGTGAAATTAAGCCAGTGAGGGAAAGACGAATACCATATGATTTCACTTATATGTGGAGTCTAATGAACAAAATAAACTGATGAGCAAACTAGAAACTGAGGCATGAACACATGGAAGAGACCGACAGCTGTTCAGAGAGGAGGGAGAAGAGGGAACTGGGCGAAAGAAGGTAAAGGAATTAGCCAAAAATACATATATATGTAACACATAGACATAGACAACAATGTGATGATAGGCAGAGGGAAAGGGGGTAAGGGGCTAGGTGGAGGTGGGCAAGGGTAGTGGGGACATCTGCAATACAGTCAATTACAAAAATAAAGTTGAAATTAAAAACAAAGAAAGACTTCTTTCCCTATTGAATGGATCTGGCACCCTTGTCAAAAACCATTTGATCATGTATATGAGAGTTTATTTCTGGGCTCTATTCTGTTCCATCGATCTGTATGTCTGTCTGTATGCCAGCACTGCAGTTTTGATTACTATAGCTTTTTATTAAGTTTTGAAATCAGAAAGTATGTGACCTTGAACTTTGTTCTTCTTTTTGAAGACTGTTTTGGTCATTCAGTGTCCTTCTCAAAGGACATTATATATAATTTTTAGGATAGATTTTTCTGTTTCTGCAAGGAAACATTATTGGGATTTTCATAGGGATAGCATTGAATCCATAGATTGCTTTGAGTAGTATTGACATCTTAATAGTAAGTGTTCCAGTCTGTAAACAGGAGATATCTTTCCATTTATTTATGGTTTCAATTTGTCTCAGCAACATTTGCAGTTTTTATTGTATAATTCTTTCATCTCTTTGATTAAAGGTTATTCCTAAGTATTTCATTCTTTTGGATGCTATTATAAATAGAAGTGTTTTCTTTCTTTTCTATAAAGATTTTATTTATTTTTAGGGGGGGGGGAGAGAGAGAGAGAGAGGGAGAGAGAGAGAGAAACATCAATGTGCGGTTGCTGG